GCCTTCGGTTTGGGGTTCAGTGTGTTGTTCGCTGGTGCGTTGATTATCGGTCAGCTTTTCGGGATCGACCCTTAGCCTCATGCACCCAATGAGACAAGCATAATGTGGACGGGACAGCACCTTATATGCTGGGAGCTGCCCAGCTTGGGCAGGCGGTAGCTGTCCGGCGAAGTGCGAAGACCTCCCACCGTCGATAGGAAGCCCCAGGTACCCCGCTCCTACGTCCACCTAACGGGGTGTTTTCGATCGGTCAACTGCCCCTCACCCTGTTTATTTACTAGAGTGACCTCTCCAGGGGCGGGTGTGGATAGAAAATGAAGCCAGGAGGTGCCCATGCAACTGGCCATGTGAGAGTGATCTTCGTCTGGCCTCTACCCTTTGACCTTTCAGGCATGTTTGGATCTGCGGCTAAAGAGCCATCCTGTATGGCTCACAGGGTCATTGAGGCGCGCAAGCCATCACATGAAGCCAAGGTGCAGTCTCGTCGTGATGGATTTGGTTTACTAATCAGTTTTCAAGAAATTCTCAAGCCAGATTTCGCTTTAGATGCATTGTCAGCTAATGTCATTGCCGTATCGTTTTAAGGTGAGTGATTACAATTTGAATGAACCGGATGATAATGAAATTGAAGTCACGATATTAATTAAGATCGAAACAAAATACAGTGCTTCTCTCCTTAAAGTATGCTCCAGAATACCGATCAGTCAGGACTTGTATCCGCACCTCGAACTAAAATGTCACTTGATCGCGCGTTAAGACAGTTCATAGGCCCTCCTGTTATGCTAATTATTCATTTGCGTGCTTGTAAAGGTATGTCTAGACATTGCAAATCAAACACGTATCTAATAGAAAGCCTTTTAAAAACACGATAAACCACCTAGTTGCGCATAATGTGTGGGGTGGCGTGCGTGCCCAGTTATTTGCTGCTGTCATTTACACCAGCAGAGGTGACTTCACTAATGTGACACATGAGTAGGGGGACCAATCAATTCGATTATTTGGTGAAGCACGTCCTGTGAAGAGGGTAAACTAAGCGAGAACGGATTATCTAGGAAGCACTGTGCTGTTGCTTCAACCTTTTTGTGTCCAATAATCGGTGCGAATTCATCGGCCCCAGTGAGAATCGAGCCAGAGATCTCACAGGTATTGACTGAACTACCGTGTAGCTGATTACACAGCTGGCCATTTTGCCTGTGCACTGTATTGCACGTCACATTTTGTAAACGTACATATAGTGTTTATTCAAACAACAGGTTAGATAGTTGAATTCACTGTTCCAAAAACGCTCACACGGCGTAAAAAGAAGTCGCAAGTGATCACATATCATGACAGGAAGCCGGTGAAAAATGCATTCTTGTACTGTGGTAACAAAGTGATGGTTAGTAATTTGTGAATTATTATGGTTTCCTTGGGTGTGTGAACGAGCGGAGCTTTACCAGATTATGCGAAAAAGTAAAGTTAATGATGCATAGATTGACGATAGAATCCTACATGCTGTTATGTATCTGTCGCACTTTGTGATTTCTCCTTCAGATGGAAACGCCCCGAAAGTGGAAGGAAGATAGAGCGACTTTTGTTTCAGTGGCTCACGGCGAGGACAAGGCAGAAAGGGTTGGATGACGAAAATGTACTGCAAAATGTGGCAGTTAAATTCTACAAATTACTGCCAAAAATCCAATATCAAAGTCGTGCTTAGGCAGTGTTATATGAGTCATTTTCGGAACAGACAGACGTCTGCTGATGATCGAGAATTTGGACCAATGGATGGACTCTTACACTAGGATTTCGATGTCATCAATAAAAAATGATTAGCAAGTACAAGCTCAGGATGTTTTATCAGCTAGCAGGGGAAGGTTCACTGAACTTACAAACAAAGGGGAATATCCTTGGGTATCTAAGTAATGAGACGTTGACATCGCATTAAATTTTATTTAGTGGAACATTGCGGACCAAGAACATTAGCGAACCACAAATCTAACAATAATAATAATAATAATAGTAATAATAATATTTTTTATTCAAATGATCCTAAACGGGAAATAAGAAGTCGGTGTACGGAAAATTGTATTCAGTAATTCCTAATCCTGTTCTTACAAACAGTATTGTAACAGTGTTTATATAATGACATTCATTTGCCCGGTTTTAGGTCACGAACCTGATATAGAGCATAGGGTTTAAGTATAAGTGTGGGTTTTAATGGCAAGTTGATATGACCTTACTCCACTCGGTTCAAGTGGGACGCTATGTTCTGTCGTCGTGATCCATGCTGACCACGGCGAGCGTCCCCATTTGGACCGCTTTCGATCGACTGAGCGGTATACAATACATAGCACAGAAAGTTTACCTCCGTTTCTCATTGTGTCTGGTGTCCACGAGATAACCCACGGTTGCACTGGAGACAGTATCGGTCTTTTCCTGATCTAACCATTGCGAGTCGTGAGACAAACGACCTATTAAGCGAATTATATTATATTTATTATTCACATCACCGGGACCGTCGTGAACACCAATCCAATGTTCGGCTACCGATTTAATTAAGTAAGGCATCCAAAAAACTAGGTTCAGGTCCGACCACTCCACATATTCTCGAAGTTCCATAATGTAAATGACTGTGACATTGCACAATTTGGTGTGGAACGGAGCAGGAGAGCAAAGCCACACTGTCACGAAGACCCACTGTTCACTTATTATCCTATGAGAGAGAAGCACACGACGAGCAGGTCCACTCCAGTCAGGTATATTGTGATCTTATCACAACAGGGTATGCACATACGCACTACTTCCTTCCAGTTCTGAATGACGGATTTGGGTTTCATTCTCTCAGTTGTGTATACCCCATCAGAGGGCATGTTTACACGAATCCGCTTTAATGACTCTGGTCGTTATTGCATCACTTTGTTCATCGTAATCAGCATTTAGGCACGCAAGGAGGACTGACATCGTACGATTTCAGCGTGTTGAATTTCAATAGGGATTTGGGTTTAAGCAACGACGGTAATGGCAGGCAGGTCATGCACCATCTACGAATCAACGAGATAACGGTTATCGTCTAATCCACCTGATGCAGGAGAAATTGCGACTTAAGACTACCTTTTCCCCATTGGGTGTCTTGGTTGTACGTAATAATNGCGAGCCGTACCCGATGTCACTTGAGGAAAAAGTGTTGTATTGTTGAACGGTGAATAAGGTGATATACCACTGATGATTACTGACACCGTTTTTCTTGCTATTTAGGAACTCCTTACCCAGCAGTGAGAGAACTTAAAATGGACTAACTTTTCGCGATTCTCCGTTACTCGTTGACCATTACGCTCATCTTGTTTCTCTGCGACTATCAAGCCTTCTTCCTTGTGATAGGGCATCGTAAATCACTTTCAAAACGATCCACAAGCGATCGTTATTTGTTTATACACAGTTAGGTTTGAACAGGGGGATAATTCTACAGTGGAATTTCTCTCCAGAAGCCCCAATTCAACTGTAAGAGTTAGCTTTATTGCTGCGACATTTGTGTTCATTCAAAGTGCTACCTCGAACTACCTATATTGAATAATTACAAATTGCCATTGCAAAATGCAGTCGCCATGACCTGTTCATTAGGATGTATCCTTGCCTTGCAGTTGGATAATTTTTTATTCTCAGCGATAGATCCCACTCATGCAGATAAGGTTCAGTAACCAGTAGATGTTGCACACCATATATACCCTTATCGAACAACTCACGTTATCTACCGAATGAGTACAAATCAATCAGACATGATAGATATATGGGAGCAAAGTACGTGAAGTTCAAGATCTCCAACTTCCATGGTCTATATCAACGCAAACATACGCGTACATTTCACTAAGGGTTTTCTGGTCACCACAAGAATCGAATGATGGGCACGACTGAATCACCTTATTAAACCTGTGGTTAAGATGGTCCCTACCTGTTACCATTTTCCACACACAGAGATACACGCGCATGTGCACATAAAATTGTTCAAGTGATACACTACGTACAACTGTCATTAATTTTATCATTTTTTTTCAAAATCCACCACGGGAGGTGGGTTACCTCGTTCAGCATTTATTCCATTGCGAACTCACTAAACCTGGGAGATAAACAACTACAATCACATCATTGTATTAATTGGACGGATCAGAAAGAACGCTGTTTATACCCGATGATTTAGACCACAGAGACGTATCTCGAATACCGGCCTGTTTAGGGAAGCATGCAGCTTAGAAAAGATCGAAAGCAACAACAACAACAACTGGTGCGAATATGATAGTTAGTTATAGGAATTCAGTGTGTGTTTGTTCTCGTTGATAAAATGAATGTGATGATTTTCGGGCGGCAGGAGGGAAGAGTGTGAACAAATGCTCTGGGACCAGAACGGCATTTAACGTAAGGATTCGGTTGCACGGGAATGTGAGTTTGGCTGGAAAAGAATGAATCAGATAGCTCGATAGTGAAAACAGGAACTGATTAGAATTGTGTCTATTCGTGCTATTGACACTGATGTGCACGCAAAGGGCCGTTGTATGAAACAAGCAGAGGAACAATGGATAACAAGTGCTCAATTGATGTTCAGATAGAGATCCTATATAAAGAAGTATATTTGCACATACATAGTTAATAATAAAGATGAAGATAATTTGGTGCTTTTTGGTTTTCCGTAATACGGGAGCAAAGTAGACAATTCAAAATGAGGGAGAGAGAGAAAAACAGCAGAGATATATGAAAATGGGCTATGCTGTGGACACGAATGGATGAATTGCATAACAAGTCGCATTTGTGTACGGAAAAATTACAGCGCGTAGTCACTGCTATGGTTCGTATTCAACAAGGAAAGATGACTAATACGTGCACAATTATGGAATCAACGATTGTGTGACAATGAAATAATAAAAGGACACAACATCGAAATGCCAAGTCTTTTTTGTCTCAGATGTACTAGTATATGTTCATTCATCCACTTAATTTGATGGGCGTAGTCTTATTCGTTTCCATCGGATTGTTCAAGCCACTGGACTCTTGTTAGTGGAATCCGGAACCGTGTCAGTCGTCGGAGTTCCTGTCTGCGCCTCTCGATCTGACGTAACATCAAAGTCTGACACATCTTCGTGTGGATCATCTCCGGCTTCATAGGACCGATATACTCGAGCCTGTTCAGAGTCGTAGATTGTATCCTGAAATGCGGGATTGTCCGGATCGAGAGCATCTTCGTCATCCTCGTCGTACATCTGTGGATTGAACGGAATTGAACAATTTTGTCATCCAATTATTACAAAAATGAATTTCTATGCTTGCTATTCACAAATCGTTAGTAACGTGAAGTCGCATTCTCTTAAACAATACGATTTTTATCCAATGATCGCATCAGCCGGGAGCATAATATAAGCTTTTAGTAGCAGGTTTGATTCTGATGAACCAAGATCTTTCCATTGATTTCACAGGGTTAGTAGATCACGTGGTCAAACATTTGATACTTTCACGAGAGCAGAACGGGTTTGTGTACTAGACATTAAAAGAAACCACCATCTACGTGCTTGAGGAGATAATTATCGGAGAACTGGCAGCACCTTAAATGTAAACAGTTGTTCTGGTGAACAACACTGATTTGATTGTACAGACGGAGATAAATGAATATGATATAAAGCATCTGTTATCGATAAACATCGGCTCGGGTGGCGAAACATGCCCCAATAGAATGTGACCATCCTCAATGCATTCATTTCATTTTTCAACTTTTCTTAGAGATTCCTCTAGGATTCGTAGTGTATTTATGGTGTCCAAATTGTGCATCTAGCGAATTCCGTTTAGTGCGAATTAATCCGTAAACAAAAATGTTCATTTAACTCTATTTATTCATTGGATTTACCATGAGAGGGGAGTTACAATCAATCAAATTTTGATAATGAATATGGATAACCGGAGCACTGAAGACAGTTGATCATATTTCTCCCAAAGGATCAGAGAACATAAACCGGCTTGGTTGAGAACGAATTGCAAGAAAACAATAACCAGTGCGACGATGGGCCACCTCGCTGATACCGGACATCAGCCAGACAACGATGCTTTCAAAGTCATCTACAAAGTACCCCAAAACAAATCAAATCAAGTTCCGATACGTCACTTGTCAACAGCGGAAGCTGTAGCAATCAAAATCATGAACCCACCACTGTGGAAACAGAAGAAGATGGTCGCCGCACTTCAGCTGCCTTGGCCTCAATCGAACCTACGTGATGCCCCGAACCATGACCTCAATCGTATCATGATGACGCAACATGACGTGACAAATGGCACATGAAAAGAAAGGTCACCGAAAAATCCAGAATTGACCTTTCCCCCCACACTCTCCCCTTCACCCACTGTCCCCATTTTATCCACTGGTCCCGATTAAACTTGGCAGACATTGTTGCATTTTCACACATAACCTCTATGGTCCAACCACGTTTATTTCCAAATGAGATATAAATACGCACACATAACTGTAAAGGCCTGAAGACGAAGCTACGAAAACAAGCTTGTTCGCCATACTGTTTTGCTTTTGATATATTCATATGGGAATCTTCCGTGAATTTTCAGAAATCGATGACTTGGCGAATTTTCACGACCAATCAGTTCGCATATGTTCATCCTAAACACGTGTTGTCAGTACGTACATAAACACCAGGTGATACTTGATTACCATTGGGTGGGGACAAGAAGAAAAACCGAATCTTGGCGATGGTAGTAAGAAATGACGACAACATTTTTGTAAAACATCGTTTTCGTTTATCTGTTCCGCGCAAATCTCAGGATATCAGCTCTCACTTTTTCACAACATTTTTAAATATGAAAATGTTTTACTCTCCGTCAATCCTCCTTTTTCGGTGTCTCAGGTAACTCGAGAAAATGAAATATTATTTGATTGTTTTGCGAATATTAACCTTTTGATCTACTAAAGGGGCTAGACGATAATGAACCTAAAGTTACTTAGGTGGATTTGTGAGTTTCCGGTGTCTACAAAATATGATATCATCAGTCCCGCTGTGTGATGGTATTTGTGGTGTTGACGGGAGGATGGCTTCAGACAGTCCATGAGGGGATCTGATATAGGACCGAAAAGAAAAAAATGGATCGTAGGTTTAGGCAATTTCTTTAAACTCAAAGACAAACCGTTTCAAATGGTTTTTAATAACGAAGCAGATTTATTTCTGACAAGATACCAAATGAAGTGTTGCCCGTTTGAACCACTTGGAAGAACAAAGAGAAAAAAACAGTTGAAGGCATCCACATGAAATCCAAATGAGGAACAATAGGCCCGGTATAATGTGCACATCCATTGAGGTATCACATTTTGCGAAAGACGTAGCACGATTTGAACTATGCATCAACCCGTACGAACTTTCAGTTAGTCAAAGTAAAGAGGTGGGATGTCACAGAAGATATTTTTCCAACTTCAACTACGTCCATTCTACCTGGTTGTTATTTTAGGTGTTAAAAAAGAACAAAACCATCTCTTGTCTGCAGAGTGCACGTGAACATAGACAGTTGAATGATTCGAAATACACGTTACAAATAGAAGGTATATTCGTCAGATTAACAATTTCAATGGATGAACTCAAAATTAGGGGAATTGAAGCGGTCAGTGGGGGGGAATGTGATATGAAAATATCCGGTATACTTTCACCGACTTACAAACCGATTGTGATCACGATTGTTATTTACCACCTATCGACCGATGTCAATGCATATACTACGTCATCTAACCAATAGGCCTTTATGAGAAATAAAACCCGCCTTCCAAGACCCTTAAAGTAATGTTTTAAAATGAATGTTGAATAGGATCCTTCGATGAACTGATCCCAGTGACATTCTGTGATCATTTCACTTCAAAACCTCTGCAAAAGAAACCGCATAGTACAGAAGGCATCAGTTGTATAGCACAACAGAAACTATTGCTCGGATAATGACTCTGAGTCTTCGCCAAACTTTGAGGAACTTACTTTACGATCGTAAAAACAGAATTTCTTTTCCATTTCTTCGAACTCCTTGCGGTGTGTTGTCGGATTGATGATAACTTCCAAAGTGGCATTTCGTGGTCCAACCGACCTCTCCCCAATGATGGATGAACGGGCAGGGATTGTCGATGGAACTTGAAAGCTCACTGGCCCTTTTAGAGTAGGCACTGGTTCCCAGCGGTGATTTTTTTTCGCATTAGGCACTGTCGGACCATTTGCACGACGAGCTCGGAAGAAATACGTCATACCAACCGCAATGGAAATGAGTACAATGGCGATTGCGCAGCCCATCAATGTGTACGTCACCTGCAGTAAGGGTAGTGCACAAATACCAGTGTTGCATTTATTCACACAAAAATACCAGTATTGTATAAATCCCCTAAAGTCGGAAGGTCTGCAACAACCTACGTGTATCAGCTCACTGTGAATATTCAGTGTACTGCAGAAAAGTGATTAAACGATATACGATTGTTTGACAAACAGAAACGTTAACTACTCATGAGTAGTGTGATTTTAATGTGGTATTACTTGCAGTAAGATGGACTGCGTGCTATCACACAGCTAGATGTCCCCAAAAGGAATTGAATCTCTCGAAAGTCAGAATTATCAATCAAAATGAAGAATGATGGAAGAGAGACATACATTAAATTGCAACATCTTTTCGTGTTCTTTTCAGCTGACGACTTAATTCTGGCATCTGCATTTAGATTAGTCCCAAATTTCTATCATACTAAGGGGGTCTTTGGAATGGGTTTAAGGGCTGCTGTTGCCAGTGAAGTTCCATCATACATTTCCTGGGGATGAGAATCATCAATAAATTATATGTTCAGTAAATTAAGTTTTTTTTCAAATTTTTTAATCAACAACAAAATGAAGTATATACAATTTCCGTTTCACGAAATGAATACTTTTGATTAGAGGAGTCTTGTAAAGCAGATAATTATTGTGTTAAACAAATGCTCAAACCCTTCCGAGCGGACACTCATGGCTTACCTGGAATTGATGTACGTCCATTCAAATGATTTGGGTCAATCTTCGTAAACCGAAGGCAAACACCCGGGAGGCTTCATTGATAATTACTTCACGCATAGAAGTACATGCCTAATGGTTGTTTCAACTGAACTGATTTCACTTCTTGAGTACATGGCCTAAACGACATAGTAGGAGTCGAGTGATAACACCGTACATAGAGCCTGATTCGTGCTTTTTTAATTTTCTCCTTTATTTCGATCTTTTAATTTTACTTGCATCGATTTGATCGATTTATATTCAACACGTACTCGATCTATATAGATAACAAACAATGTGATTCACCCGTGAGTCAAGTATTTTCACAAAAATGTGCATGTTCCGATCCAAAGATAGATGTCATTACCCCTCATAATAAAAACTTATGATAAATCCGAGGCCATTTGCAATGGTAAGGACTTGATGAAAGCTGTTCAGAAACCTACGGTGGACATAACATTATGTTCACCTAAGCAACCTATTTACTGTACCATTATTAGTCCAAGAATTAGAGTCTTTGTTGAAAAAATTACCTATTTATGAGTAAACAAGTTACCGTACTTATGGGATGAAATACCAGAGCTTACTTGTTCTGGTTAGTGGACGTGAAATAGTGTACAACAGTCAATCACTCACAAGATATCAATCCTTCATACACTCCATTTTACCTCCTGCATGATTGACGTGCAGATCGATAATTGCATTTGAACACTCACTCGTGTGCTTCTGTTTGAGCCAGAATTCTTCACTCACAATTTGATTTTCCCATTAGTACATAAAGTATTCTCTAACCTCTCAACCAGAACTTGACTATTTGATCATGGTCAAAAACGTAGAAGAGCAACATCATTTGGGTTTAAGGAAGTGTTCTCCTGTGTATTGGAGAATTTAGATGACTGAATGGCTGAAATAAAATCAGCTGCAAAATAAGCTCTCCTCATAACAAATTAATAACGAATATCTAAAAGAAGAAAAAATTCAGCACTCAACTGAATCCACCATGAAGCGTACAGACAGTATATAAACTTTGGAGTTGTGAGGAAAACATTTATAATGAAATTGTGAAAAATGCAGTAGCCTCGGTTGGATTCGAAATCACGCATGGAAGCCAAATACGTTTCTATACAGCACACGCTCTACAAACTGACCTAAGAATAGACCCGCGAAAAACCACTACTATCCGTGTGGCCTCGCAGCTCATCTGGTAAAGCGCGCGCTGTACAAACGCGCAGGCAGCGTCCATGCGTGCTTTCGAGTCCCACCCAGGCTACGGAACTTTCCCAATTTCCAAATGAGACTTCAGTCTACCGAACAGTCATTTGAACAGGAAACAATTTAGCCGAACGCAAAGAATATGGTACTAAATGAAAATAAATGTAGGTTTCTGCCGCTAAAATTAATTGCTGTTTTGATCATGATCAAGATATTAAAAGATGGCAGCATAAATCCTATTCCAGTAGAGCTCAAGAACATAAAAACAGCACATCTTGTGTAAGTCAATATAAACAGGTCTAATCGAAACTGAAGCAACGGGTCCCTGTGTAACAAAATTGTCGGTTCGTATAGGCGATAGCATTTATACTGAAGTAAATTATTTTCCAGATAATAATAAACAAGACTTGGTGAGTCTTAATAGACGTGACTTTTCTGATTCGTTTATACTCAGCAGATGGAATGGTTCAGAATGTAGCGGATACTCCAATTTCGTCAGTAGTGGTTGACCTAGACCATAATAAGTTAGAAGCCAACTAAAGAGAATGGAACAGTTTTTATTAACAGGAAATTAACACTGGTAATAAGCAACATGTAAAGTTTGTGTACACTAGTTGCCGACTGGTCTACCTTTGTTCTTTGGGACTTTTTCGAGCCTTTTCGACATCGAATCCACCAATTTTGTTATGAAATGATTTTCTATTTTGTGTTCCATTACGTATGGCACTTTTGGATTCAATGTCTAATGTATGGGTAGCACATTGACCTCTGTTTTCAAAACCGAAAACAGATTTTCAATCACATTGAGATCCGGGCTATTAGGGTGAAGTTGCATGAACTGAACCTTAGAGTCACAAATGGTTTCTGAAGTCTAAAAGCAAATAATAAGTGAACCATACTCCTTCACTAAATACATTTACTAACTTCTCGTGAAACATGACACGGAGCGTTATCCTGGAAAACAATAACGTTTCCAGACGATTTTTCTCATGTGATTCTGGAAAAAGTATCGTCATTACTGATACGAACTTCCCACTATTCATGGTGCCTTTGACTGATATCCACCGACAAGGCTGACCATGTTTTATCCCTGCCCCCTGATGTGTAATCTCGACGAGTGAGAAACTCTTTCATTTGGTGGAATAAGTCCTTTTGGCAAATTCTCACCACAACTGACATTTTGGAAGCTTTCCAAGGCTAGTCCCACACCATACACTCTTGGGCGAAGTAAACCGATCGCCAAGATGACGCACGTTGAGATTTGAATTCTCGAGCAAAATCAATACGCGCCTTTACTGCCTTTACTGCGCGTTCAATGCTGGCTTGACGTCAGCTGCCACATTTTAAACGTTTTTATTCTTCTTTGCAGAAGGAAGTATGAATGGCTAGGAAGATCTTCTCGTTGAACAGACGACAACAATTTTCTGCAATGGTTTTCCAGAGTAATATAAAGCAGGTTGTCCTCCTGTTTAGATGTACTCGATTTACGGCCCCCACAAGCTGTTCTGGTTGTTGTTTTCCCATGAATTATCCTGTAAATTGTGCTTTTGGTAACGTTAAAGCATTGAGCAAGATGTGATATGGAAAATCCCAGCTTGTGTGCTCGTGGAATTTTATTTCTGTCCTCTTCACCGAGAGAGCAAGGACATTTGGTTTTGAGCGCTGCTTGCTTCATTATGGTGACAACAATATGAACATTCAAAGCTGTGCACAAAAATGACCTTGATTTCAAAGTTGACTTTGATTGAAGTGGTATGTCTCGAATTCGGTGAGTTCGATATCAAACATATATTATGATCATGAAACCTTATTTTATTTAATTTCTTCGGGTTGTGAAAGAATTTCATTTGGTTGTTCAATAGAGTTGCTATAATGGATTATATATTGGATAAAATAATACCACACAACAAATAACCGAGATGGGAAGGGTTTGTGGAAATAATTTGGGATAATTCTTGAGTCGTTCCTATTGGAAAATATTGCGTTTTCACACTTGATAAAGTTTGCGGTTTTCATGTTGCGATTATTTTATCTTGGCAGCGAAGGTAAGGCACGTTTATTTGACACTCAAGCAGACTAGAAACTACGTAGATCGAAGTAGACAAGATATAACTT